AGGCACTCCGATTCAACACAATTCGCTGAAACCCTGCAGGAGGTATTCCCGACATTCGTCTGCGCTGTGAGTCAACAAATGGTATCGTAGACGTAACGCAAAGTATCTTTTTAGCAGATAATTCGAGAGCGAAATGATATTGCCATTCTGGATTTTTAGTATATCACGCGGATGTTAACAATTTTTGACCAAGGCTAACAATCCGAAATTGTTAACAATTTTGTTAAAAAAATGTTAACAATTAACAAGGCTAACAACCCGAAATCTGGCGCTTTTTGCAATGTCCAAAGAAGCGCATACATATCTTTCAAAAATACTAGTACATGATGCAGATGATAACATTTCTTGATATTCTTGGTGCATATATATACGCCTCGAACAAAAGAATAAAGCAGTTCCAAACCAAAGAACCTCCAGCAGTGAATTTAGAGCAAAGTATCTTCATAGACTAATATATTACCTTACTTTTTGTGAGTATAATGTATTAGTCTGTGAAAATATATTACTTTATCATTTTTGTGAGGTAAAATATTAGTCTGTGAAGATACGCTGGCCGTTACTTTTTGTAAAATGACATCAGCATGAAGAAAGCTTTTCGGAGAGAAAGAATTAACCTTAGCGCATACAAAGCTCCATAGAGATTATTCTTTATTCGACATATTGCCACATATTCCTCAGCACGCAATCCTTCACAGAGCATGCACAGCAATTCCGATTTACCCGCTGCTGCTGAAAGAAAGCTTACTTCCAAATGTTCTTATGTGACGGTTACCAAAATGGTGAATCTATAGCCACAAACGTTCAGGAATCACTATAAAATAATGTCGAGGCGATGGCACATTTGCCAGAACATTCGCGGGCATGAAACCAACGACAGTGATTGTTTTACTCCACTCATCCTGAACCACTGCTGGATGCACCTGAAATCCGCAATGTGTAGCAAGACTAAGGACAGTCTAATTTTCTAATGAGCTGATATCAACATCTACGCTGGATAGGCTCAACGGTATCTCATTCACTGAGAAGAGGGCTCATTTACAGTTCTGCTGATTCGGATCGTGACTTCTTAATTGCTTCACTCACTCAGAACACGAACCAATCACCGCTTCAGCCAGTGAAATCATAACCCTCGATACCTCATCCAGGAGAGATGGGACTTAGCTGCTATTTCAATCAGTGAATTCCACACAACTTAACCAAATTGCTCACCGGAAATGAAAATCCTTGCTCAAATCCTTTTAGCAGGAATGGAACTCTTTGATCACTTCACCCACCTGAAAGACACACACACACACACGCACACATACACATACACATGTTCCCCAGTTGGTG